TCCTTTGAGGAACCTCAGGGTTGGTTCAGTGGGTGTGTCACAGGAGGCGCAGCCTCATGCCCGTTCGTTTGGGTGCCTTCAAGACATGTGGACTTGCTTTCACATGGAGGAGAGGCTAGTGGGGATCTTCGCTTTCACAAATCCTTGGGATTATGGAGAGTGTTTCTGCTTCACCCCAGAGGAGGTTCAAGGTTATTGTGATGCTGCTGGTGGTCTCTGCTGCTGCAGTCTTTTCGTTCAGCCTTGGCTGGAGAAGTGCCCAGATCCCTGCATGAAGTCAGGAGAAGGCCTGGATTACTGGCCCCCAAGAGATAACCAGACAGGATTGAAAGAAACAGTTCATATCAAACACGTAGTTCTGGCACCTTGTGAACGAGCAGGAGCAGTTGGTGCTCGAAGCAAATGCCCCCAGTTCTTCTGTGCCCCAGACTCCCTACTCCACAACGCCGGTCCTTAAACTCAGAGGCAGAACTGGGGTCTTTGCCTTCAAGTTTGATGTGCTTCCTTCCCGGTGACATTTCTGCTTTACTCCCTACCCTTCCCTTCTTCAGCCACTGACCCCACCTTCTTTCCCAAACACCAGGACTGGGAGGTGCTGGTCCTGGGGAAGCTCAAGTGGGACCTAGCTGCTGTGATTGCCCATGATTTCCTGGCCCTCATTCTGCACCGGCTCTCTCTGCCCCGTGACAGACAGGCTTTGGTCAAAAAACATGCCCAGACCTTTCTGGCCCTTTGTGCTACAGGTAAGAGCCCTATATACATTTTTGCCAGATGAGGGAAATATGAATACTTGGAAGGGTGGGAGGTAACTGGATTCTACTTTGTATTCCTCTCAAAATTTGTCAATATTAGCTCTTTGGGGGGCTCAGAAGAGGCAGCAGAACATGATCAGAGCTCATGTGATTTTTAATTTTTTTTTTAGCGTTTCTCTCTCTCTCTCTCTCACACACACACACACACACACACACACACACACACACATACAGTGAACGGGGGAGGGGCAGAGAGAGAGGGAGGCACAGAAACTGAAGCAGGCTCCAGGCTCTGAGCTGTCTGCACAGAGCCTGACACGGAGCTGGAACTCACAAACTGTAAGATCATGACCCTAGCCGAAATTGGACACTTAACCGACTGAGCCACGCGGGTGCCCCAAGGCCGTATGGGATTTTAGAGACCACCAGCCTGTAGGTGACTTGGAGAGAAGTGACTTGCTCAAGGTCTCACAGTCATTAAGTTGGGAGCAGAACCAAGGTCTCTTGACCCTGGTTTTGCTTCCGCACCAGGGAGAGCCTCCCTCGCTCTCTGGTCCCTGGCTTACTCACCGGCCGCCCTGCAGCTGACAGACTTGTGGAAGTTTCCTGTCCACCCTGGTCCTCTCTCTCTGAGAGACCCTTTCCTGCCTCTCTCCCTCACTGCTCTTACAGCACTCACTGCTGGTTTTCTGGTATTCCCTCAGCTCCGGACATGCTGCCTGGCATTTTTGCGAGCAATAGGAAGTCTGTGCTGGCCATGATCTTTTAAGCCTTTGCCTCATGGTTCCCTCTTCCTCTTTCCAAGATTACACCTTTGCCATGTACCCACCGTCCATGATTGCCACGGGCAGCATCGGGGCTGCAGTGCAAGGCCTGGGCGCGTGCTCCACGACTGGGGATGAGCTCACCGAGCTGCTGGCGGGGATCACCGGCACCGAGGTGGTGAGTGCAGGGGCTCGCCCCGGCTTTGGCCCGCCAGCACTTCCTGAAGCAGCCGCTATTCCCTGACCCTCCAGCAGAGGGTGGAGCGTGCCCCTAGCCTGGTCCCCATTCCTGGTTTCAGTTGCCCCACCCCTGGGGCTTCTGTGGCCTTCTGTCTTCTGCCTGGGTCTGGAGAAGAGCAGGTGTCTTGGGTGGGTTGAAGGGCACTGTCCCTGGGTGCCCTTTTCCTGCCAAATGAGGTGCAAGAGTGGGGGTGGGGGACCTGCTGTCAGATCACTAGGCTGCTCTCACACTCCCTTGCCACATCCTCTTGCCAGTTTCTTAGAACTGAAGGCTGATTCCTGGGGCTGGGTTGTGGCCTAACCTCCCAACTTCCCTGTGTGCTGGACGGTGTCCTTCACCCACACCTGCCACCAGATGCTGTGGGGGTGGGAAGTGGACCCTTCATTCCAAGGGGGACCTTCTGCCGTGCCCCCCGGCAGTCACGCCTGGCTGTTCCCCGTTTGCAGGACTGCCTGCGGGCCTGTCAGGAGCAGATTGAAGCTGCGCTCAGGGAGAGCCTCAGAGAAGCCGCCCAGACCTCGCCCAGCCCGGCGCCCAAGGCCCCCAGGGGCTCCAGCAGCCAGGGGCCCAGCCAGACCAGCACTCCCACAGATGTCACAGCCATCCACCTGTAGCACCGGAGAGGCCCCCTCCAGCGGCCACTGGCAGCAGAGGAGGGGACACCGCCGCCCCCCCCCTCGCCTGTAGGAACGAACCACGCCACGTCCGAAACCTGAGGGGGCTCCTTCTTCTTGGCCCCTGGCAAAGCCAAAGGGGGCAGGCCCTACCTATCCCTGCAGTGTGCACTAAGGGGCTTGGCCAGCCGTGTTTGGGTGGCCCGCCAGGCTCCTCCTTTTCCCTGCATCTGACTGGCTCCACTCTTTCCCTGATCCTAGCTGGCAGTGGGCCAGGCGGGTCGGAAATGAGATTGAAGTAGGTAAAATACATGCACCAGCATTCCTTTTGGAGGCCCCCTTATCTCGGGGGCTCTCGTGTTCTCAAATCCCCAAATGCCCCCAGTGCCTTGCAAAGGTGTTGCACCTTCCAGAGTTACTGCATTTGGATTGGGGTCTTTCTGAAGAAACTTCAGAGATTCTGATAGACACGTGTAAGGGGAAACAGTCTGGACAGCTCCTCCTGACGCGCTTTGGAGGCCCCCATATAATCCATGCTCACAGCTGCTCCCACAGGGAGGGCCCGGACCTCTGTCCAAGGGGCGGGCAAGCACCGACCAATCCCTCCTTGCTTTGCTTTCTGCCCAGCTTCTCCTGTGTGATTGAGGGGGGTTAGTGCTGAAGGAAGAAGTTGTTTTAATTTATTAATTGCTTTGAGGACAACTGAAAGAGGGTGTGGTGGGGCCCATCGACCCCACACGCGGTGGTGACCCTGGTGGTTGCTGCATCCTCCCCTCTGCTAACTGGCTAGAGGACCCTTGTGGCCAAGGAGCTGCTATAGCCTGGGGTAGGGCCATGCCCTCTTCTCCCTTTGGCCCTCTGCTCCATTCTCTGGGGGCAGGGGGGTGGGGTAGGGATAAACTGGAGGGGACCGGGCCCTTGTCTGGAGAGGGAGGCAAGCCCTGTTGACACAGGTCTTTCCTAAGGCCACAAGGTCCAGGCTGGTGGCCCAGGACCATCATGCTACCTTAATAAAGATTCTGGAATAAGCCTGGCTTTGGCTTCTTGGATTAGATGGTGGTACAGGGGAAAGCTGTTTCTTGACTGCATGAGGTAAAGAGGCAGAAGTCAAGGGTCTTCATGCAGAGGTCATCACAAGCCATTTCTGGAAGGGGCCAGAAAGCAAATGTTTTAGGCTTTGTGGGTCATTTGGTTTCTGCCCCAGATATAGTCAGTTCTACTTTACAATGGGATGTGCGCATTCCTGCAGTTCACTGCACCGTGTAAAACTGCACAACAAAAACCACAGGGCTCATGGGAAACCGGGCTTGAGGCACAAGACTCAAAAAACTTAATGAGTGACCTATTTCTTAAGGAAGGAAATAAAGTGGATAACCTAGCTGTCAGTTTAAATGGTTTAGAAACCTGTACTACGACAGGGCCCTTTATCTTGGAAAAGACCTGCAGTGTGTGCAAGCAGAGGTCAGAAACCTGGGGCAGGGGAGAGTGGCCAGCAGTTGTGGGTGGGGTTCTGCACTGGAGGGGAGCGGAGACCCCTCTGGTACTTGGAGGCCCATGCAAGTTGTCTACCACCTGGCTGGCCTCAGCTTGCCACTTTCCACCTACTGTTTCTTAGAGAAAACTGCATATAAATGGGAAATTTGTGATTGACTTCTCCCCAAATGCATTGCCTGGGGTGGACCGAATTCACATTTTCAAAAGCAAATCAGCAGCGTCCTAGCAGGACTATACAGTTGACTCAAATAACACGGGTTTGAACGGTGCCGGACCACTTATGCATACACACACGTACGTATTCATACAATACAGTGCTGTAAACATATTTTGAGATTTTCTCTTTTCTGGTGTATCGGTTAGAATACTGTATATGTGACCTAACCTACAAATCCACGGTTTATGTTATCAGTAAGGCTTCCAGTCAACAGCTGGCTATTGGTAATTAAATTTTGGGAAGCCAAAAATTACACACAAATTTCTGGCTTCGCCGAGGGGGGGGGGTTGGTGCCTATAAGCCCTGCTCTGTTCAAAGGTCACTGTACTCAGTGCCGCCGTAGCATGAGAGCAACCATAAAAAACAAATGGATAGGTGTGCCTGCGTCCCCACACTTTATTTATGGACGCTAAAATCTGAATTTCACAGAATTTTCACCTATCACAAAATACTATTAACTTTTTCCTAACCATCTAAAAAATGTAAAAGTCATTCTTAGCTCATGGGCAAAAAGAAAATGGGCATATGACTCTAGTCTGCCAACCCCTGATCTAAAATCAGCCAAGAGATTTAGGGAACCTGCCTGGCGGGGGCTCCGGATCCACTCCTTCTGGGGCCTGTGTCTCCTGCCTCTGCAGCCTGCTTTCTCTCCTGCAGCAATCCCCCCACGGCCGACACACGACCATCTTTTGAACAACCTCCAAAGTAGCCTCTGCCTTGGTGAAGACAGAGGATGCGTCTCAGGGCTAACAGGGTGGTGTGGCGTAGAGACCCGAACTTGGAGGATAAGGAGTGGGGGGGGGAGGGTATCCTCTGTAAACTGGTCAGAACCCACTCCTCAACAAGAACAGGGAAGAGCTTCCCTCCAGCTAAAGGGGAAAGCAAAATGGTCTCCACTGATCACATCAAACACAGAAGTTCAATAAATACCTGCCTTTGGTTTTTATCCACATCCCAGTGAGGTGACACAGAGCCTGAGAGAAAGAACCTGTTCCAAGCCCCAGGCAGGGAGCAGGGACCAGCCAGACCCTTAGTCCTCGTCTCTGTCCCTCTCTCACTGCCCTGATCTGGGACTTCAGCTGAAAAAGCTCGGTGTCCCCAGCAGGGATCCTGGTATCCCCCCAGGGCCCCTTAGACCAGCATGAGAAACTTTCCTCACTCCATGGTGACAGGGACATCTTCCACGTCTCGTGGCACGGCGCTCTGAAGCTCACGCCTGATCTCGGGGGAGAGCTGCGGATGGGGCTGGAGCCGGAGCAGCTCCAGGAGGGCCTCTTTCTGGTCTGTGGCCAGGTCTGCCTTGTAGCGCTGGACCAGAGTCAGGAGACACTGGTGCCAGAGCACGGGCAGTTCGCGCCTCTCCGTCCGGAAGCCCAGGAAGTGGAAGACCAGGGCGTCTAGCACCCGGTAGGGCAGTGCGTACTTCTTATCCAGCAGCAGGCGCAGGAAGATGCTGTTGGCACCACTGTATTCCATCTCGGCGATTTTCAGCATGGCAGCACTGGCGGGGAAGGGTTCGTGGTGGGGAAGATGCTGGAGGGAAGGCCGGCTCTCCCCCATGCCTCTTCCCCTCTCCTTCTCTGCTGGTCCCCCACTGTGCTATTCTCAGCGGGCCATCTCAGGCCTTCTTCCCACCTGCCCAAGCTTCTACTCCGCGGCCTCAGTTACTAGCTGTCTACAGATTCACCCTAAGTCCCTACTTCAGGCTCAGCCTGCTCGCCTCACTATCTGGCTAGACTATTTTCAAGCACCTGCAGATCTCCACCCCTAACATACTCTCTTCTCATGTTCCCTGTTCGTTCATTCAACTATTTACTAAGCACCTACCACGTGCCAGGCAGGGCTCCTGTTTTGGGGGAATTTACGTTCCGGTGGAGTAGTGACACATTCAACAGCTTACACAAGCCATGGACCTAGGGCTGTTCCTAGCTTCTTCCCCACTGTGTCCATGCCCCCCAGTCCTGGGATTCTCCTGTCTGAATCCCTCCTGACTAGCGGTCCTCCTCACCACCCCCACTACCTGGAGTGCAACACAGGGATGGAGCATTTGGTGATGATGCTCCCCACGATGATGGCTTCCCGGAGGGTACAGGTGCCAGACTCGCAGAGTGGGATCAGGATCCCTGGGGAGGGTCAGAGGGGAAGGCACTTTGAGCCCAGGGTGAAAGGAAAGAGCTATAGAAGCCACCCTCCACCTCCACCGACAGACAGCCATCTCCCTGCACGCACGCTGCTTCTGCCTGCAGGAGCTCCGGCCCCTCCCTCTCTCAGTGGCCCCAGGTCCCCACCTTTAAACCAGGCTCCAGGCTTGAACAGAGCCTTCTTGAGCGCCATGTAGAGGTGGAAGTTGAGTCGTTTGTATTCAGCGATGTCATCTCGTACCCGGGGCAGCAGGACAAGGTTGTAGAAGCGCTGGGCCATGCGTTCCTTGAGGTTAGAGGCGAAAATCCTATTTTGGGGAAGATATAGGGGGGATTCCAGGTCACCTGATAGCCTGGAGCTGGCCCTTTAAATTCACTGTGGATGGTGCACACAGGAGATTCGAGGATATGCGGAGCGAGCTGTGCGCACGCAGCACCCGACACGTCAGAAAGGGAACAGGAGGGGCTATAAGGGGTACCCACACAGTGTGAATGCCCCGTCTTTGGGAGAGCCAGAGCTCTCTGCCATTCGCCTTCCTTCCCGACACGGGTTCTCTCCACCAAGCTATCCCAAGAGACCAGAGCATGCCCAGGGAGCTACAGACTTCGGAGGCCACCTGACACACCAGGGGTCATGCCCTGGGAGTTCTAGGGCCTTCATCTGGATACTCATCACAGGAAGAGTCTCAAAAAGGTCCTGGCCCCAAAACACGGAAACGGGAAAAGTTGGAAAAACAGTGACCTACAGAAGCACAAGACAGAGCTCTGGGCCAAAGGTAAATGCAGTGGCAAAGGCAGAGAAAGCCTGTAACCCCGCACCCAGCATTTACCTACAGCCCCCAGGCCACCCGAACCCCCGTCTACTCCACCTCGTGGCTTGGTACATGGCAGCTGCTGTCCAGGCCTCGGGTTCTGTGACGTAGAGGATCTGCTCCCAGTTGGAGAGTGCAGGGATGATCTTGAAGGCCTTGGGCAGCTTCCCACTGCGGTACTTAGATAACACCTGCAGACATGAGCACAAAATCATCACTGTCTAGGACACGGATGTCGTGCGCCGTTTGCCAGGTGCTTTTCACAGATTAGCTCGCTCAATCCTCACAACAACCCTGAAGGATGTGTCATCAGCACCCTCATTTTCCAGACGGGGAAACCAAGACCAGAATTAAGTAGCCTTCCCCAAGGCCACCATGTCCCTGAGTGGCAGAGGAGGAATCTGAACCCACTCAACTTGGGCTCTTGGTTTGCTCTTGGCCATCATGCCTCACATGTATGAGACGTGGGCACCCAAAGCCTCAGTGGGAGCCCACGGCCCCTGGGAGGGTAGTCCATCATGGCTCTCCGCTCGGCTCTTACCTCCCGGACCCCTCTGTAGACCTCCAGAACGCGCGGGTCCAGCTGCGGCATAGGGAAGCCTGACACCTCTGACATAACCGTCTCAACTTCAGTCTGCTTCTCAGTCAGCTTCTCCATGATGATGTCAGCCAGCGTGCGCCTAGGAGTAAGGAAGGTGCGGGAGGGAAGTGGGGAGGGCTGTGGCCAGTCCAGGAAGCTCTACACTCCCTGCACAGGGAGCTCCCATACACCTGTGATCCTGCTGGAGGTGTGGCCCTAGTCTCCCTGGGCCACAGAATCCAGGCAGGGTGCAGAGGACCCCAAAGTCACTTGACCTGGGTTCAAATTCTGGCTCTTTGTCTCCCTATATGACTCTGGGCATGCTCCTTGGTCTCTCTAAGCCTCAGTTTCCTCGTCTGTGAAGCAGGGATAACAGTACCTACCTCAAAGAGTCACCGTAAGGATTACACGAGTTAATGTACGTCCAGTACTTGGGACTGTTAGTGCATGGCCAGCAGGCAGCAAGCGTTGCCTATTTCAAACACAACACACTCACCACACGCCGGTAGCATGTTGAGGACTCTCCAATGACAAAATCCCAGTCTGACCTCTCTAGAGTGTCAGACACATCTCAGTTTTTTACCAAAACTTTGAGTAGCTGGAGCCATTAAGGAGAAACTATGACACAAACATCCCCTCAATTTAATTAATTAAAATTGAGGGGAATATTTCTAAGATTATGATGTTTCTCTCAGGTTCCTTACACAGCGCATGTCAAACGTAACTATATCGCGATACTTCAGAATTATGGTCACCATGCGCTCTGGTGAAATCACGCTGAGGTATATTTAAAATGGCTCCCATTTTCTCAACTGCAGGTGCTGAGGCAGGACTTTCCAGATGTTCTCCCATGTAGTCAGTGCAACATCTCAGAGAGGTGTCTTTACTGCTATTATTCGGACACAGGAACTGATACCCAGGCAGGGTCAATAACTCACCCAAGCTCTCACAACTCGCAAGTAAGGAGAGTCGAACACTGGGCTTTCAGGTTCTAAAGTTCAGGTACTTTTATACAATTCTGTGCCCAAACAAAATGGGCCTCTTACTGATGAGCTCACATGGGTCTGGATTTGCTTTCAGAAGGTGGCAGCCATTTCTCAAGACTGTCAAGAGCCCATTTCTGGTAGTTTTCCTTTTATTGACTGCAAGCTATAAAATCACCCCACCAATCCTGTCAGAGTGGTACGTTACAGGGACACCTGGGTGGCGGTCAGTTAAGCGTCCAACTCTTGATTTTGGCTCAGGTCGTAACGTCACAGTTTATGAGACCTAGCCCCCACGTTGGGCTGTGCACTGACAGCACGAATCCTGCTTGAAATTCATTCTCTCTCTCTCTCAAAATAAATATTACAAAAAACCAAAAAATGACGTGTTACAAAGGTGTTCTGAGGCACTGAGTGAGAACTGGGAGGCTCTCCGTCAGGACAGGCACACGAGCCCAGGTACGCTGTCCTCTGTGACATCTATTTCAGCCGCTGGGCATCAGTGTGGGAAGTGGGCTCGTATCCTCACTCTGCTCTCAAACAAGCGGCCGCACAATTTATCCTTCAGCTGCCCTGTCTTTTCTCAGTATTATCAACAACAAGAGATGCATTAACCTCAGAAAAGCCCAAGAACCAAGAACAGTGTCCAGTGTCACAGGGTCAGAATGAACTAGCTGAGGACCTTTATCCTTTAGATTCTTCTCCCCTGGGTCAAAGTCGATGGGCTTAAGAGCTTGATCACAGGAGCTTACATGCCTGCATAATTTGGAGCTGTCATTTACTATACATGACAATAAATTGTCCTTCTAACTTAGGGTGATTTTGCCCACAAGGGAACATTTGGCAATGCCTGGGGACATTTTTTGGTTACCGTGATGGGGGAAACGTCACTACTGGTATCCAGTGAGGGGGAGTCAGGCATCCTGCTAACCATCCTACACTGCACAGGACAGCCTCCACAAAAAAAGAATTATCCAGCCCAAAATGCCAGCCACACCGAGGCTGAGAAACCCTGGATGAAGTAAAGCTGAGAGTATGAAAGATCTGGCCAAGGAAATCGAATGTAGCACTAAGAAAACTAAGCATACCAAGACCAAATGCAATGAGACGGGTTGCCCCAGAGGCATGAGAAAAGGCCCTGCAGCTGTTTCCCCAGGCAGTCTGGGCAGTTCTCCAAGAGGTGGACAGATGGGCAGGAGGTCAAGGTCATTTTCACTCAGATAGGTCCTTTGACGATGGGCCAATTTTGCCAAGCTGGTTCCCCACAGCTAGCCATGCTCGGACCCTTCCCAAAGGCAGGGAATCAAGTCTGTCAGGACACATGCTTCCCCGCAGCGAGGTGCCCCCGGGACCCACCACCCCTATCGCCCTACCTGGCAGGAGGGTTCTTGTTCATGAACATCTCAATGGCACGCTCATCCTCAGGGTCCACGACCACTTCTGCATGATGGCCTGCCCCTGTCATTGTAGCAGCCTTCTCCAGGGTGGGCCACTCCTCGTCCTCATCATCTGATCCATCCTGTGGGACCCCCGGACCTGGAAGAGATGACATGCATGAGCAAGGCAAGTGGTGGGTAAGGGATGTAGAGGTCAACTCAACCTTACCCATCCTGCACGTGCAGGCCTCATGTGGCTTGTAGCACATACAGATGGCTGCAGTGGAAGTGACGATGCACCCGCTAGCTCTCTTCCCAAGGCCTTACAGTCTTGAGAAACAAAACGGACAAAGGAGATAGTCCTTTGAACCTGTGTCCTGGTCCTGTGAACCAAGGAGACAGTGATGCCAACGAATAACTGCTGACACACCACAGTCAGGCACATAGCAGGAACTATTCTAAAAACTGTACGTAACTTTCCTAACACCAAGGAGGAGGTGCTCTCATTCTACCCACTTGGAGAAGGGGACACGGAAGCACAGGAAAGTTAAGTAACTTGCCTAAGGCAGGTAGCCTGGGTTTAGACTGTGCATTCTTCACCTCTGCTCTACACACTGTAAGGCTCCATGGTAGGCCAAAATGAGTGGCAGAGGCATCGTATACCACGGGCACGCAGAAGGTGGTGAGAGCACAGGATGGCGAGGCTCTGGAGAGGCAGTGTGGGAGTTGGAGGAGTGTGCTCAGACCCGGGTAACAACACTGACAGGAGGGCTTGGTTACAAGAGTATCTGATAGGCAGCTGCAAGACCTAAGATTAGATGGGTAAAGCCGGACTGTGGAGGGCCTTGAGGCCAGGCAATGGAGTTCAGATTTCAACGAACAACCCATTTTTATAACTGATTACTGGATGGCTTCAGCCGGCTGGCCATTTAGAAAAGGATGTAATAGTCACGCAGAAAGATAAAATACTACACATGACTAGCTCGTTAAGAACAAAAGCAGTGTGTGATAAAAGCTAAATGGAAGAGGGGGATGCACCAGGCGTTTTGTCTCCACACGCTGACAAATCTCAAATCTGTGCTTGTAGGTAGATTTCCCTCTACTCCAGACACTAACTCTAGCCCCCTCCTGCCCTGCAGCTCTGGGATGACCCCCAGGCAATTCAAATCTCACTTGCCATCTACTGAACTCACTCTTTCCCTCCTAGGTCTACACTGCTCACCGTTCCACATCTAAGTAAACTGCACTACCATCCATCCGTCGCTAAGCCAGAACCTGGCAGGCCTGCCTCATCCCCTCCCCACCCTTCCCCTCCCAACACATAATTACCAAGTCCTATTTAAGTCTACTTCACACACTCTCTCTCAAATCCTTCACAGCTTTGCCTAGGCCTAGGTCGGCATCATCTTTTGCCTATATTAGTTCAACAGTCCCCTAATTGGTTTCCATATTCTCCAATAGCCTCCCAGTCTTTAGGATAGCTTTAAATCCTGAACACAGCCTCCAAGTCTTTTGTAGATTTGGCTCCTACCTACCTTACTACCATTAACCCATTCATCGGCAAACACTGAGTGCCTACTAGGTGAGGCGCTGTTCGGAGTGCTGAAAAAATTAATGTAAAAGAGAAACTTGCAGGGCTTATGTTTTAATGAGGGTGACAGACGATACTAAATATCAAAAGAAGACAGGTGCTATGAAAAAAGACATAAGGCAGAGAAGGTGGGAGTGTGGAAATGGGAGAGGTGGGTGTGTTTCTGTTTTTAATGGAATGGCCAGGGCAGCCTCTCTGAGAAGGCGAAGAATCAGGGAAATAAGTGGACAGGGTTATGAAGACAGAAGGAATAACCTGGGCAAAGCCCTAACTTACTATGTTTAAGGAATAATAAAGCCTGTATGGATGAAAAGGGCGAGGAGAGAGTGGAAGAGGTCAGACTGGCAATGGGCAGATCATGCAGGTCTCTGTAGTCTTGTAGCTGTTGAGTTGAGAGTGTACTGGAAGGCAGATGGGATACTAATTAGGAAGCTACTACAGTGATTCAGGTGAGATATTATGGTGGCTCTCAAACAGGACTGTGTTCTGAGGTGATGAGAAGTGATCTACCTCTGGATATATTTTGAAAGCAGAGTCAACAGGATTTGCTAACAGCTCAGATGTGGAGAAAGAGAGGGGTTCAAGGCTTCTGTCTTGAGCCAATGGGAGGAAACCACCCTATTAACTGAGATGAGGAAGACAGTGGGAGGAGCAGGTTTGGAGAGCAGATCAGGATTTCTGTTTTGGACATACTGATTTGAGATATCTATGAGACTTCAAATTGGAGATGCCAAATAGGCGGTTGAAACAGAAGAATGTGATTTTCATGTTAAAGATCCAGGCTAGAATACAAAGTTGGGAGCACTCACCAAATAGAAGACACTTAAAGCGTGAAACCGAGGACAGCACCAGAGAAGAGCGGTGAACGGAAGAGTTCCAGAAACTGAACCTTGCGGCACATCAGTGATAAGAGTGTGAGGACAGAAGAGGAGTCAGCAAAAGATGCTGAGACGTGAGGAAGTAGTACAACAGGAATGTGATGGCTTAGGAGCCAAGTACAGATACTGAAGCCAGGAGGCCAGTGTTCAATGGTGTCAAACACTGCTCTCAGGACCAAGGAAAGATGAGATCTGAGAAACAAATTAAACAATTCAGAGGTCAACACTTCCACCCTAGTAATAAAACACCATCTTTTAATTAGTTCCTCTCCCTCTTTAACACCTAAACAACATTGTTCTTTCTCCTCAAAGCACTCACCACTCATTATTCAGGTCTCATCACAAATCTGGGAAGCCTGACCCTCAAAAGTAATGCTACCGTTACAAAAGAAACTCTATTTTTGTTATCGTGACATGTATTATCCTAATAGTTGTCTCTCTGTTGGGCTAGGCTGCAAGATCTTGAAGTCAGGCACATGTCTATGTTGTTTTCTTCTTTACTCAAACCGTCTGAACCCCTGGCACAGTACAAAGCACACACCAGATATCCCAGAAGTATTTACAGAACACATAAACGTTAGGAGTGCGTTGCGGCGTGAGCAATTACTCCCTGTTGGTCTAACTTCGAGGATGCCCAGAAGCGAGTACTTAAAACTACAAGTGGGCAAGGAGGGCTCGGACTACTCTAAATCTGCTCCAGGGCCGGGTCTCCCATTTCATTACCTTTACAAGGGAGTAACGCAGATCCCTTATTTACCTTATTTTTTTCATTCCAAACTCTTCCCTGCCGGATACTTTTGCCAACTACCTTTCTTCTCCACAACTAACCACCCTTTTCCTGGCACCTACCCCCTGCCGCTCACCCAGCCGCGTGGTGCGCTCCCGTGGCGCTGCAGGCTTGTCCCCTGTCCCATGCTCGGCCTCGAGCTCGTCCTGCTGCTTCCGCGCTTGTTGCAAAATCCGTCGGGTTAGCCTGGGCCCCACATACTCTTCCTCCTCTTCTCCGGTACCGCGACCCCGCCGCTTTTGCCGGGACCCTGCCCGCACCGCGTCCCCAGCCAGGATCTGCTCGGCCAGGGGCGCATGTTTCTCCTGACCTGCGGCTCCTCGAGCCGCCTTGAATTTGGGCATTTCTCCGAAAAACTTTGCTGGAGAAGTTCACACGTGGGGACAGGAGGAAAAAGCCTAGAGTGCGCTTGCGCCACGAACTTTCAGGTCCCAAGAGCCTCCCCCTCCGAAGTTCACAGCGCCACCTAGCGTCCGGAGGCCAGGAGTGCCATCAGCGCCGCCACACCCCCTAAATAGCTCACGGGTCCTGGAGCTGGATTCCCGAATAGTCTCATTGCACTTAACGTTGGCTTATCGAATTGGTGGCAGTCCGAGCGATGACTTTCTCCCTTCATGAATCTAGGACCTCTGTGTCCAGCAAAGCGTGAACTTGGAGCTGGGAGCCAGAACGTCACCGGAGGCCTCACCGAGGAGGTGGCTAGACCTGCTCCTGCCCGTCGTGAGCACGTCGGCTGGGCGCTCTGTTTTGACGTCATTTCCGGTGCTCCTCCCTCGGCCGAAGCTTGCTTTAGGGGGCTTCGCTTGGTGTAGGCGGCTGGAGAACGCTGCAAATCAACTGTTTGTTCCCGCCAGCCCTGCTGGTCCGATACCATGGGAGTGACTTGGTAGGACCGCAGGGGACTTTGCAGGGAGGCGCTTGGGGTCGGGAAAGGCCCTCGGAGCCTGGAGGGCACCCGGGAGGAGGATCGGGACCAGGGTCTGCCGCCCCGCACGAGCTGAGCAAGATGTCTCCGGAATGTGTGGGTGAGGAGGACACTGGCAGGGCTGCGGTTTCTCCGGCCTTGTTTGCTTGGAGATGCTCCCGTTCTTTCTGGAAGGCGGCAAGTGAAGGGGTTTATTACAGGAGCCCATCGGTGGTTGTGTACCTCCTTCCCTTTTTCTTCCTCCCCATGAGGCCATAGGGCTGCCCCGAGTGGAATTTAAGGGTCGGAAATAGGATGTCTGAACTAGGACTCAATCTGCAGGCGAGGCTGGAGGGGGTGGGCGATAGGCAACGAGGAAACCATCTTTTGTAGGTTTTCTCCTGCTGCTGCCTACCGCCGCCTAATGCAGTTGAGACCAGCCCGTGTCTGGTTCTGGTGTGGCCGTTTTAAGATCTTCAGTCCAGAGAAAAAGCAGCTGCTGGGAGTTAGATTGTGGTTCAGGCACGTCACCTTTTCAGGATCCGTCTCCCTCTATGTTTAATTACATAGTCTAGTTTTTATGGATTTTTTGCCTCTTGAAATGTAAGTCAGGGTGGCAGAGAAAGGTATGGGCCTACTGCTCTTGCAGGCATGAGTTCCAAAATGGTAGATTTCAGGGATTGCTTTGTTTTGTCTTGAATATCAGTATTCATATCTTTCTAGGCAGAAAGGGCTGGAGGCCAGGATCTCTGAAGTCAGTGGTTGGAGGCCTCTTGTATAGGAGCCTGTGGGAACGACTCTTTCCAGTAACTCCGGTTCTTTGTTGGTTTGTCTGTGACCGTCACCTTTGTTTTCTACAGTGGACCTCATGAGCCTCTTCTAAGTCTTCTAGGGAAAGGGGATGTGTGAGGGATGGAATGAAAAGTTTGTAGTATAGTGGCTTGGAACCCTGGGAGCCCCTGTTCTTTCAGTAGAAGACAGAGGGATTGAGCTGGGCTGTCAGTCTGTTGGGACACTTATCAAGTTTTTCACACTCCTAGAACTTCTGACTCCCCGCCTTATACCACTTTCACAATGTATCACAATAAGGCGTAACATCATCCTGGCTTATGAGTGCTTTTTCTGATAGAGAGTCATGCCACTTTTTAGTAACAACAGGACTCCATTCTTAGAAATTCATTTAGTTGATCATAAAGTAAGGTAGTGTCTTCCAAAATTCAACAGCATGTGGTTTTTTATATAGCTAGGTATCACCTGTACTATTTATTAATGTTTTCTTTTGAATCCATTTCTTTTCCTTAAAAATATTTTTAACAGGCAATTACATCCCTAAGGAAGCGGTCTAGTAGAGCACAGACATGGAGCCAGCTTGCCTGGCTTTGAGTCTTGGCTACACTACACCAAGCTGTGTGGCCCTTTGTGAATTACTCAAACCCTCTCCACTTCTGTTTACTCATTTGTAACAAGGGGACAATTAACAGCTCATCTTCTAGGGATTTTGGGAGGATTCAAAGAGTTAATTCATCTAAAGGCCTTTGGGAACCGTCTGGCACATGGCTTGTGCCTGATGATTGTTACCTACTACTCTAAAGGGGAAGCCAGTTTTACTTACCGTAGAAGGAAATCTTGAACGTTTTTATTTCATTGTTTTGATTAATTTCGTGTCCATACTGTTGCCTCTCACTCCTAAAAATTATAAACTTAAGGCTTGCATTCTCATTGATCCTGGCGCTGTTGAGTAGAAGTTTCCACATGACAGAAATGTTCTACAACGGTGTTGTCTAATACACTGGCCTGTAGTCACATGTGGCTCTTGAGCCTTAGAAGTGTGGGTAGTGCAGCTGAGGAGCCGAACTTTTAATTTAACTTAGTTTATTAGTTTTAGTGTAAATAGCCCCATGTGGCTTGTGGCTACTCTACTGGACAGAGCCCGTTCAACGTGTTAGAGACTTGGTAAAAACATAGTATCCACAAATTGAAGTGTTCCTGATAAAGTCAAAACTGAAGGACTTGAAAAGGATGTCCCTTTCTCATGTGACTTAATGTTAGCGAATGCCCAGTCTGTGTGCCACCTAAAACCTTCCTTTGAACCTTGGCCCACATGTCACACTTGGGAAAGCAGTGTGAGAAGCTGGTGTGAGTGTCCTTAGAGCTGTGCTATAGTTCTTAGTGGAGCTCTCATGGACTCTGAGCCTCTATCTCCTTGTCTCATTAAAACAAGAGAGAGGATCAGGGTAGGTAGCTCTTAAGGTAACTCCTGGCCCCGAAGAGCTCTGAGTCTGTGGGCAAACGAGTGGCTCAAGGAGTGTACACGAGCTTCTGGATACTGATGATTGGGTCCTCTTCCTTCCAGTGTGTCCCAGATGCCTGTGGCTGAGGGCAAGAGTGTGCAGCAGACGGTGGAGCTCCTCACCCGGAAACTGGAGATGCTGGGGGCAGAGAAGCAAGGAACATTTTGTGTGGATTGTGAGACCTACCACACAGCCGCCTCCACTCTTGGCAGCCAAGGTCAGTGAGATGGGTCTGCAGGATGGCTGGAAGCTTGTCTTGGAGTTGATTGACATTCAGGCTCATTGAAATCTTTATGCTCTTTTGCAAAGGGTGGTATTGCTGAACATGTGGCAGATGAGTTTCTGAATTCGTTAATTCTTGGTCCCTCATCTCTTTTACTGGGCCTATGCTTTAGTCTTTTTGCACTTCTCACTTTTAGAGCTGTGTTTCTTGGGGGATTGGTCACTGGCTAACTGCCTCTGCATCTGATCACCTGGGTTACTTGTTAAAGGTACAGAGTCCTGGCCCTGCCTCCCGACTGACTGGATGGAGCTACAGGCCTCAATTGCAGTTCAGCCAGCTCCCTTGAGGATCATTTAGCACCTTTTTTGAGTTTGAGAAAGACTCCTTTTAGGCTCAGAAGTCTTTGTATATGATTCTTTTACAGTTTTAGAACGTTTAGAACTTTCTACAGAAGGGCTTTCTGATTCCTGCACCTAGCTAGTAGTCTTGGATACCTCATTGGCATAACCTTGACCATTCAATCAACTTTCATTTTAAACCTATTGAGAGGTGAGATGGACTGTGGGTGATTGGTGGTGGTGATAGACAAAGAATTTTTTTAAAAGTTTATTTATTTTGAGAGATAGAGAGAAAATGCGAGTGAGGGGAGGGGCAGACAAAGAGGGAGAATCTCAAGCAGGCTCTGCGCTAACAGCCCCTCGTGGGGCTTGAACTCACGAAATCATGAGATCATGACCTGAGCCGAAATCAAGAGTCGGATGCTTAACCAGCTGAGTCACCCACCACCCCAAGAGAATCTTGGAATGTGAGTTAGGGAACCTGAGTTCTCTTAGTTGTGGCTCTGCAGTTTCTTGACCTAGGACAGTTCCCAAAGCACAGTGGCTAAGAGCCTAGATCGTGGAACCAGAGAACTGAGTCCTGGTCACATACTAGCTGCAACTTAGCTGTAACTAGTCCCACAACCTTTGACTGTTTTCTTTGCTGGTCATTTGCCTTTACTCCATAGATCCATTACCCTCACTTTCCCTTCAGACATTTGCCAGGCCCTTTTTTAGTTATGTTTGGCCAGTGAGGGGCACTGGGGAAGAGTAGAGGACAGAAGAAGGGAGAGCACAGTATCTCCTCTCCCTCAGCTTTGGGCCATGTCCCTGGGTCTCTGGCTGTGGCTGTATCTCTTCCTTGGTTTTAGCCCCCGCTGGGTGGCCCTCCTGCCTGGCTCTAGTGACAGCACATCTTCTCTTTCTCCTTCCAGCCTTAGGGATGGACATCCCTGTGTTCCTAATATTTGGGCGGCCTCACCATTTGTTTATTTTTTCAGTTTTTCCAACCCTTGTATTTTGTTCCCTGTATTAAATCCCTTCTAATGAAACCATTTGCTATGGGCTCTGTTTCTGTACCTCCCTAGGACAGTTCTGTCATTTGTACAATGAAAACATCATAGTACTGACTTCCTAGTGTTGTGCTAATTAAATTAGTATGTGCAAAGCACTTCAAGTTGAGTTTGTAAGTGTAATAAATATTTGATAAGTTAGAGCTCTATGGAGTTTCAGCATCAGTAAAATAGTGTTACCGTTAGCTTTGCCTTCAGTAGGAAGGAAGGATGTAGGAATTAATAGAGATCATTGTTATGAAAGCATTAGGAAAACAAAAACATTTGTGCATGCATGTAAGATGGCATACTACTTCTGTGACGCCACGTGTTACGTGTTACCGGGTCTGTTTTCCTGATCTGATCTTTACTCTTCCAGGAGGTACAGTCTAGTTGGGGAGAGGACACGTTTGTGGCAGACAGTGGGGTAGAATGGAAGCCGCAATAAACTTGAGGTCGAGAGGCCTGGATTGGCGTTCCCGTTCTGTTCCTTCCTGGCTCTGTGCTTTTGGAGCACAAGTTCTCACAGGGACCAGCATTAGCATCATCCGGAGGGC